CTTTTATGGACTCTGCGATGCGCTTTATTGCCGTCATTGGCTGCGTTTAGTAGAACAAAATGGCTGCGTTCAGAAAACACAACGGTTACACAACGGTTGAGTAATTCGTCAACGTTATTGGTCTGAATGTAAGGATCTAACAGTAACCAATAGTTACTGTTAGATCCTTACATTCAGACCAATAACGTTGACGAATTACTCAACCGTTGTGTAACCGTTGTGTTTTCTGAACGCAGCCAATGATCAGTAGAACAAAATGAGCGCTTAGTGATTATTGTCTGTGATTGGAGCATTTTTTTAGATTCTTCATAGACCCAGAAGTATTTACCAATCAGGAGCGAGAATCACTAAGCGCTCACTGATCACTTTGTTCTGCTGAACGCAGCCATTGGCATAGAGCTCCGTCATCTCACGCATGCGCTGTAGTGTCGCAATATATTGCATCTGACATCACTGCGTCCGAATTCTAGCGACGTGTCCAATTGCGCTCCTTTGAACTCTGTATGATGCTCTATTCAGATCTGAGAGAAATTTGTGTGACGTTAAATTAAACTGTTTTGTGTAACCGGCGTCGATGATTTGCGGAACGGAAAGCGGGAACTGACATGCGATAACCTTTTTTAATTGCTCGAAGTTCCGTCGCCGTCGCGCACCTCTGTCGACGAGCGAAATTCGGAACAACAAGTACATGACCGTTCGTCGCAAACACCTCCGTGTGTCTTCATTTCGTGCAATCTGTCAGCGACATTTTGTGAGTGTCAGCATTGACGAACAATAAAGTTTTTTGTGTGGTCAAGTAACTGGCTGTCAATTTCAATCTCCACTGTGAAGTGCGCGACGCCCAGGGCTCGCGTCCTTAGCAGAGCAGTTTCAGTCTTTCTCGCGCGTGCGATTTCTACGAGGTTCCGGCAATTCGCTTATCGCCAGCGGAAGTCGCGCCGCGCGAATACTTATAATTAACAGAAAAGTACAGTAATTAACAGAACAGTACAATTTTTAATATATTTTTCATGTTTTAATTATAGTATGTTTACAATACGTTTTTGCATTGTTGACATTACAATCATTTTCATCATTTGTAAACTTATTGATAGAAAAATACAATTTTCTTTTTATTTAAATACGTATTTTTTAAACGCCATTATTACTATGTATTTTTGAAGTCGACTTAATTTTAACATCAAATTCAAGAAAACTACAAAATAAGTGCGACTTTTAATCTTTTGTTTTGTATAATATCAAGTGGAGATATTTATCGCACCGACTGATTGTTTTTTTTTTCAGAAAACTTTGAGCTTGCATAATGTAATAAGTACTATAATTTTCTAATAAAAATGTAGAAATGTTCTCATGTTGAATAATAACATGTATTAAGTTTATGCATAAATTCCTGGAATTATATTTGGATGGCACTGTAATCTGAATGCTTAAACTTTTCAATTATATTTTATATTAGTGCCATTGGCTGAATTTGAGCTTACATACAACAGTTCATATTTATTTACTTAAATACATTTTTAGTCTAATTACATTTAATTATTTGATACTGCATGCTGCATTATTTTTATCGTGAAAAGTGCTGCTGAAATAAACAGAATTATTTGCAGGAACTATGGTAAGCATACTATAACTGAAAATATATGCCAATTTTGGTTCCAAAAGTTTTGAAGTGGAAATTTTTATGTTAGTGACAAACTTTGCTGTGGCTGACCTCAAGAAATGAAAGACAAGGATTTGGAAGTTCTACTTGCCAAAGATGCAGCTTAATTGTCTGTAGAGTTTAAGAAACAGCTTGCTATTAATCACATAGTACATCAACGCTTACATGCATTGGGAAAGATTTAGAAGGAAAGGAAATGGGTCTCACATCAACTGTTGGAATGAGCTATTGGCAATCGTCTCAATACTTGCATCTCATTCCTTGTTTGACAAAAAGAAAAAATTTTTGTACAGAAAATAGTAACTGCAGATGGATTTATTATTATATGATAATCCTAAACATAAAAAGAAGTAGTTAGATCCAGGACAACCTTCTATACCAAAGTGCAATATTTACACACATAAGATTCTCCTTTGCATTTAGTGGGACCGGAAGGACATGCTCTATTATGAGCTGCTCAAATCTGGTGAAACGATTACTGCAGAGTGCTACAGTCACCAATTGTTCCAGTTGAATGAAGAAATTCAGAAAAAAGGCCATGGACAGCAAAAGGAAATCAAAAAGTCATCTTGCTCCATAACAACGTTCAGCCACGTGTTGCTTCCGTGACTGAGGATACCTTACTGAAACTTGAGTGGGAAGTTCTACCACATCTGGCACATAAATCTTACTCCTTCAGGTTTTTACTTATTTCAGTCAATGCAGAATCATCTCTTTGATATATGATTTGATATGTGATTTAGGAATTTGATATGTGATTCAGAAATGAGAATAAAATATTGAAATGGGTCAATGAATTCATTTCATTGAAAGATGTGTCATTCTTCAATCAAGGAATCCATTTGTTGCTTGAAAAATGGTCCAAAATTATAGCAAGTGAAGAAAAATATTTTGACTAAACATGTATCCTTTTTTTTAATATATATAAATTAAATCTCTAAAAAAATCTCACAAACTTATGCACAGGCTTAATACAAAATTTGTCAACAAAGACTTCTTTGCCCAATTATTCTCTAAGCAATTGATTTCTGTTAAAAATACATGTCACGTGATGATACATGTCAATATTATTTTCAAGGGGGCTGTACGATTATGATAAATTTAGCTATATAACTTCATTCTCTTAATTGAAATAGCTATTCCCAGAAATTTTAATTAATTAAATAGCAATAGGTATCAAATAAGATATCATTTCAAAGATATTTTAATTTTAAAGAATATTTTTTCATACACACAGTAGTGTTTATTTTTTTAAATTTGGGTGAATATTTGTTTAAAAAATCATATTTGGGAATTTGGATATTTTGGGTAAGTAAAGAATTCTATTCGGATTGTTATTGTTTTATTGAGTTAAATTTATCACAATCATACTGCCTTCTTAAAAACTATTGATGTGTATCAATATTTTTGATAAGAATCAATTTGTTACAGAATAATCCGGTGAAAAGTTTTTGTTGGCAGACTCTATAATACAACGTCAGACTCTTGTTTATTGTTTTCCTAGTAAATATTTCTGAATAATCTTAAATTTTTTATAAATAATATTCCCAAAGGTTAATACTTTTAAAAAAAAATAAGCGGATGAATTTGTGTGATACAGTGAGATAAGTTCCTTAGTAAAGTTCTATACAAGATGTTTAAATATATTGAAAATCTATCGATAACTGCAGGCAGCACATAATGCTGAATAGGGAAGGTGTATATTCTAGCATTACGAAATTGCATGCCTTTATTGTCCAATATTACATACTTGTTGTCAAGAGGCAGCGCATAATGCTGAATAGGGAAGATGTATATTCTAACATTACATGCCTTTATTATCCAATATTACATACTTGTTGTCAAGAGATTGTTAGTGGAAAATATAAAAAATAGGTCCTCAATTGTACAATTCAAATTAGGAAAAAAAAGCCAATAAAAATCGATGCACAATTAAAATCATAATAAATCATTCAATAAAATATATGTCTATAAAAACTCAGAATATATATTAAAATATTTTCCAAATCTTTCAATTCAACTTGGAATTTTTTTAGTACTGGAATATACAAAAATTAATACAAATATCAAGTAAAAAGCTCGTAAATGTGTCAGAGTAAAGATATTAACAAAATAAAACAAATAAACAAAGAGGATAAAATCACAAATCTATATACGATGGTAGCGGTCTCAGTACTAAGCACTAAAATTGTTACAAAAGCATGTATAAAGATAGGATATTAACCTTTTGTACTCGAGAGGCGACTCTCAGTTGCCACTGGGTTTTATGTTAGCTGTAAGAAGTTCGTTAAATATTCACAAAATCGTTGAGAATCTCTTCTCGAGTGCAAAGGGTTAACTTTTAACCTTTTGCGTTCGACTTTTCCGCTGGGCAAACTAGCAACTCTAGATGATTTTGCGAATATTTGACAAACTTCTTCCAGCTAACAAAACCCAGTCGCAACTGAGTCACCTCTCGAATGTCAAGGGTTAGCAAAGACACCGATACTCAATTGTGTTATAGCAATATTATTAATAAACTTAAACATCTTGGATAGGACTTTGATTAAAGAACTCGTTCACCACATCATACTCATTTGCTTGTTTTCTTTCATCAAAATATCTCAATAATTATCATGGTTGTTTGATAGTAATATAGTTGATTATAATGTTTGATAAATACCACCTGTAGACACAAACAGACATATGGGGCATTCCATATGAAGTGATACACCCAAATTTTCAAAGTTGTACGATTATGCTGAAATTTGCACAAATTGTAGTCCTATCACAACTAAGATTTTTGGCCAAATTGTTTGACTCACGACCAACGGGTTGTCTAGTAGCAGAGGCTTGAAGTTTTAGCATTTGGGCCGTTGTGTCCAACTTCAAACGCCGGTAAGTTCTAGTAGACTATTTCGATTTTCAAAAACAAGGAGTGATTACTAAAGGTCTTTTTGCGCCCTTTAATCCTATGAAATCAGTTTTGTTTTTAAGTCAAAATTTATTTAAAATTTTTGAAAGATAAACAAATTATTTTTCTCAAATTCAGACATCTTTGATTTTCTTCGAAAATATCTTTAAAAAAAGTAGAATTCTTGCCCTTTAAAATGATTCCAAGATTAAAATGGGCAGACTTTTAGTTTTTAAGATACAGCTTGTTTTAGGACCGCGTCACGCACGGTGCAGCTCGGCCGCTGTTGCAAGTGCCACGGATGATCCGATCAGTTCTATTGCTTGTGGCCAGACCTGATGTGATCTGTGTCATATATCATATATATATATATATATATATGATCAAGCCATTTACTATAATATATAAACACCAGCAGATGATATATGACACAGATCACATCAGGTCTGGCCACAAGCAATAGAACTGATCGGATCATCCGTGGCACTTGCAACAGCGGCCGAGCTGCACCGTGCGTGACGCGCTCGGTCCTAAAACAAGCTGTATCTTGAAAACTAAAAGTCTGCCCATTTTGATCTTGCAATCATTTTAAAGGGCAAGAATTCTATTTTTTTAAAGATATTTTCGAAGAAAATCAAAGATGTCTGAATTTAAGAAAAAACAATTTCTTTCTTATCCTTCAAAAATTTTAAATAAATTTTGACTTAAAAACAAAACTGATTTCATAGTATTAAAGGGCGCAAAAAGACCTTTAGAAATCACTCCTTGTTTTTGAAAATCGGAATAGTCTACTGGAACCTACCGGCGTTTGAAGTTGGACACAACGGCCCAAATGCTAAAACTTCAAACCTCTGCTACTAGACAACCCGTTGGTCGTGAGTCAAACAATTTGGCCAAAAATCTTAGTTGTGATAGGACTACAATTTGTGCAAATTTCAGCATAATCGTACAACTTTGAAAATTTGGGTATATCACTTCATATGGAATGCCCCATATACATTACATCAGACACTCTATAGCACTATTAAAATATAATAAAACACACAAACAGTGCAGCTCTCTTAAAAAAAAAAACATTCAAATATTGAACATCCATACTCAATTATTCGAATTTATTCTCAAATATGGATACACTCAAATTTGAGAATAAATTCGAATATTTGAGTGTAGATATTCAATATTTGAGTGTTTTTTCAGTAAGAGTTGTTGATTATTAATTAATGATAAAAATATAAATAATGAATGTTCTCTACAGAAGTTAATATAGAATTATATAATCAATTGGTGTTGTTTATATGGATTTTCGATTAAAACATGAAGCAAAATAATTAAAAGAATAAAATTGATCATTTGATTTGTGTGATTGATAATATAAATTTCACTGCTACTTATTGTGGACAAATGATTGTGATGGTGCTATTGTTGCTGTTATTTTTCATATTTGGTGTTATTATTCATATTGCTGCTTATTTTGTTATTCTAGTTCTCATTGTTACGCTCATTGACGTGGTTGCTTATGCCACAATTTATGCTATCGCTTTTGCTGTTTCTACTGTTAGTATTATTGCTATTGTCGATATTTCTGCTGCTGCTGTTGTTGCTGCCGCTCTTGCGGCTGTTAATATCATTTTTGCTACGGCTGTTGCCAATATTTTTATTATCACTATTATTAGTGTTGCTGGATGGATTGGTTATATTGGCACTGTACTTGCTACCGCTGCTACCGATATTTGTACTGTTGTTACTGCTGCTGTTGTCAATATATTTGTTAGTACTATTATTATTCTTACTGTTATTGTTTTTATTGTTAGTTAGGTTGGTACTATTTTTGCTACTATCAATGCTTTTGCTGCTGTTACTGTTGTTGTTGTTGTTGTTGTTGTTGTTGTTGTTGGTTAGGTTGGTACTATTTTTGCTACCGCTATTGTCGACATTTTTGCTGCTGCTGCTGCTGCTGCTGTTGTTGTTGTTGTTGTTGTTGTTGTTGTTGTTGTTGTTGGTTAGGTTGGTACTATTTTTGCTACCGCTATTGTCGACATTTTTGCTGCTGCTACTGCTGCTGCTGCTGCTGTTGTTGTTGTTGTTGTTGTTGTTGTTGTTGTTGTTGTTGTTGTTGGTGGTGGTGGTGGTGGTGGTGGTTAGATTGGTACTGCTGTTGCTGATGCTATTTCTGCTGGTATTACTGCTATTATAATAATTTGGCCCTCTATTATAACTTATAATGTTATAATAAGCATATCCTGAAACAAAATATATATTTATATTGTAGTATATATTGTAGTATATACAAAGTTTTTTTTTTAATATATCTAATAGATACGACTATTGCTTTTTGTTATATTACTCAATAACGATAAAAGTAATATACAGGGTGTCCCATTTTAATGTTCCACCTCAAATAACTTTTTTATTTTTGATTGTAGAAAACAATGTTTCAGACAAAAGTTGTATGGTTTTGAGGAGGGCATAACATGATGCCGTTAATTTAACATAGAATAGTTTCTTGAAGGTCACATGAAGGTTATCTTTAATTTCTTAAATGGGACTACCTACTTTTCATTATATATTCTAGCTTATCGAGATCTTTTCAAAACCCTATAATTAAGTACCTTTTCATTAAGTACTTTTTAAGTTATAAGGCAACATCGAAAGCACGATCCAGCCGGTCAAGGCAAGATCGAAAGCACGATCCGGCCGGTCAAGGCAAGATTGGGGCATGTACAATTATTGTAGGTGTTCGAAATGACCGCCATTTACTTGGATAAAATGTCCAACCTACAGCGAAAATCATCCTGCACTTTTTGAAGGACATCTGCGTTTATATTCGTACATGTCTCTCGAATACGTTTATGTTTTCCGCTGTTGTAGGCTCTTCCGCATAAATTTTTTCTTTTACGTATCCCCAAAAGTAAAAATCGAGAGGAGTTAAGTTAGGTGATATTGGTGGCCATTCATGAATCCGATTACCCATTCCAATCCATCTATTATTAAATCTATTATTTAAATAATTTGTAACATTTCGGGGCTTGTCAGCTGGTGCTCCATCCTGCTGAAATCACATTCGGTTGAGCAAGTCATTATTGACATGTCGCAAAAGGTTGGGTCGATCATTCTGAAGAAGTGCTAAATATTGGGTCTGGGAAAAAGTTCGTGGCGTTTTTCCCGATAAATGGCGTCAATTGCAAATAACTCAGGAAACACAGATCGCAGCGACACCACTAAACGCTCGTTGGAAAGGTGACACTTCGAGCGTTACTTTGAGTGTATAAACATCGAAATTGGCGCAGTGGTTGGAAAGTTGTTTGTGTTTGAAAATGGAGAAAAGTAATGAAAAATTGCGCTATATTTTGCAATATTATTACGACAAAGGGAAGAACGCTGCGCAGGCTTGTGAACAAATTTGTGCTGTGTATGGTGAAGGTTTATCAAAATCTGCTGCGCGGAAATGGTTCGCCCGCTTTCGTTCTGGTAATTTTGATGTGAAAGATGAATCACGCTCTGGTCGTCCAATCACTGAAAAAGCTGATGAAATTCTTGAAAAAGTCCAGCAAGATAAACATATCAGCAATGTCGATATTGGTATGGAGCTAGGCATTGACCACAAAACTGTTTTGAACCATTTACACAAAGCTGGCTACAAAAAGAAGCTCGATGTATGGGTTCCTCATGAGTTGGGCGCGAAAAACATGATAGACCGAATTAACATCTGCGATGCGCTGCTGAAACACAATGAAATCGAGCCATTTCTGAAATGTGTCATAATCGATGATGAAAAATGGATCACGTACGACAATCGGAAGCGTCAAAGATCGTGGACAAGGGATGGTGAGCCGTCACAAGCGTTCACAAAGCCTGGATTGACGCCGAAAAAGGTGATGCTGTGTGTGTGGTGGGACTGGAAGGGAATCGTCCACCATGAGCTACTTCCAGTTGGTCAGACGATTGATTCTCAACTCTACTGTGGACAAGTAGAGAGATTACGCCAGGCAATTGAAAGAAAACGGCCCGAATTGAATAATAGGAAAGGTGTTGTCTTCCATCATGACAACGTCCGACCACACACTTCTTTGATGACCCGTCAAAAATTGCGGGAGCTTGGTTGGGAAGTTTTGATGCATCCACCGTATAACATAGCACCCTCTGACTATCACTTGTTCCGATCTCTGCAGAACTCTTAATGGAATTAAGCTGGTTTCAAAAGAAGCCTGTGAAAACCACTTGATTCAGTTTTTCAACCAGAAATCACAGAAGTTCTTCACCGATGGCATCATGGCTCTACCCGAAAAATGGCGAAACATTGTCGATAATAATGGAGCATATTTGGTTTAAATAAATTCATTTTCACACTATAAGAAAACCAGTTGAATTTTACTAAAAAAAAAACGCCACGAACTTTTTCCCAGACCCAATATATATGAGAGCAAGGGGTTTTCGAAAAATTGTATATTTTGATTATAATCTAAAATATGAATGATATATACGCAAATCAATAAATCTATTCAATATTTAAATGATCAAATGGATATTGAGCGAGACCATATTAAGTATGAATATCTTACATATTCGAAGAAAGAAGTCAAAATAGAAAAATAAGTATCGGTATGTCATGAATATATTTGCATATAGCATGTATATAATATATGTTGACTTTTTAAATACGTATACACATGGTGTCGGAAAATTAAATACAATTTATGAAATCCTTAATTTTTTTAATAAACCGTAAGAAATGGATGAAACTTCTTAAATGTTCAGGAAGATGTTTTTGATAATATATGTACATAACAGACAAAATCATTAAAGCTAGATTCCTTAAACATCACTTACAATTTCTTATTTTAATTAACGCATTTGAATTTTTTTTAGAAACAATGCGAAGTATCGAAATGTTTTTTTTAACGAAGTTGTATGATAACGAGGGAGATACATTTCAATAAAATAGAATTTGGTCTTGGGTGAAGGTATCAAAGTTAAATCAAGGTCAATTTCATTTTTTTAAATAGCAACATTTTTTAAACATTTACGTTTATAGCCATTACAAATTTAACACGCTATGATCCGAAATTATGGGTTAATCTTGGCCAACCATCAACGCCGACATCAAAACGAATCATCCACGGTGACACAGTAATGCTTTCTATTAGGTTGTTGCAGATGAAATGGCCATTTTTTAATTTTTAATTTAAATTTTTATTCGACACACTTTATATACATCTCGTCAATCGAAATAGTCTCCCTCCACCTCAATATACTTCCCCCAACGTGATACAAGCGCATCAATGCCTTTCACATAGAAATTAGAAGAGCGAGATGCAAGAAATTCGTTGAACGCATTTTTCACGTCGCTTTCTGTTTGGAATACCTTTTCACTTAAAAAGTTATCCAGATGCTTAAACGTAATCAGTTGGAGAAAGGTCAGGAGAATAAGGAAGGTGAGGGAGAATTTCGCACTTGTATTCTGTTAATATTTTTACAGTTTTTTTTGCAATATGCGGTCTAGCATTATCATGAAGCAATAACATACCGCGTCTATTTAATAACGCCGGCTGTTCAATACGCAGTTTTTCCATCACAATGTCAATTTCTTGGCAATATTTGTATTTATATTGGGTGAGTGCAAAAGTTCGTGCGGAGTTTCAATAGATGGAGTTATAAGCGTCGTAAAGTGTTGTCATTAATACTTCCATCTATATATTATATAACGTTGGAAAGGTGACGTCTTCAGCTGTTATTAAAAAAAAAATCATTTGTTTTCATACAAACTGCTTCGAGAAATATCACTTTAAAAATGAGTATCGATAAGGTGCATTTACGGCATGTTATGCTTTACGAGTTTCGGAAGGGAATAAACGTTGCCACAGCCGTAAAAAACATTCAGGATGTTTATCAGGATGAAGCACCAGCTAAACGAACTGTGGAAAAATGGTTTGCTAAATTTTGGCGCGGAGAATTTAACCTTGAAGACGAGCCACGCTCTGGTCGACCTTCTGACATTGATGACGATGTTTTGCGTACTTTAGTGCTCAATAATTCGCGAATTTCAACAGAAG